AAAAAAACTGCTCATCAACATAGTTGACTTAAGTGGTAAGCAGATTGATGTCGCTTAAGTCTCGAGTTCGAGTCATTGTGGATGCAGAAAACTTTTGTCGGGAGACTCACCCACCACTGTCAGGTGTGCGATCGGGTCGACCAATAAATTAGTCGGGGCATAACTCCCGATACCGTGGCTGGCTACCAAAAAAAAAAAAAAAACTACTCTTCAAAGTTTGACTTACTAAATTTCGTCATTATTGTCACTAATTTCACCATTATTAGAATTACATAATTTTCGATCCAAATAAAAAATAAAAAATAAAATCAGTGGACCAAAGTAAAACGATAAGAAACAAGGTAGACAAAAATCAAACACACGTATTTTCGGAATACATTTTTAATGAAAAAACGTATTTCGAGAATATGTGTTCACTCTTAAACCGCATTCTGAGAATACGGTTTAAGTAAACATGATAAGAAACGTAATTGAGGTAATTAAAGTAAAGGAAAAACGTATATTGTCAATATGTTTTTATTTAAACCGTCTATCGAAATACGTTTTGTAATTAAAATTAATTTTAATTTTATATTTTAATTATAAAACGCGTTCTTGAAATGCGTTTTATAAATCAAATTAATTTTAGATTTCTTAGAAACAATTTTTTGGATAAAATAATTATAAACTGTATTTGGAAAATACGTTTTTATTTTATAATTATTTACCCTCAAATTGATTTTTGCTCCAATTCTTCAATTTTACCCTAAATTGAATTTTGTCAAAATCGTATTCTGACAATACATTTTTTAATTAAAAAACATTATACATATTCCGGTAATTCGTTTTTAACTGTAGAAAAAAAAAAATCTGTAGCGGGTTCTTGCCAATCAACCAACGAGTCAATGGCACTGAGTATGCCGTTATCCCTATCGGAAAGAACACAGATCTGTCGGTCGAACACAACATATTGCCGCAGATTTCTCAGGAAAAATGACCAGCTATCCTTGCTTTCTTCATCAACAATCGCATAGGCGATTGGCAATAGCCGCTTATTCGTTGTCTGTGCTATGACCACAAGTAATTTTTCCTTGTACGATCGGCGCAAATGTGTATCTTCGATGCTAATAACCAGCGGGCATAGTTGGAAGGTTTAAATGGCGGGACCAAACGCCGAGAATACAAATTTGAATTCCCTGTCTAAACACTGATGAGTCATTTCCCCACCCTGTCATTCCCACTGTACGACTGTGTCGGGATTCGCTCTTTGAAGCGCCCCAAAAAACCTGAAAATTACAAAACGGTTTAGGGTAAATAGATAAACATGGTGACATAAAAACAACACATATATTTGTAATTATTTTTTACTTACTGAGGGAGTTCTGCGAAGTTCGATTCCCAACTGCCATACACACTATCGATGGTTTGTTTCTTGACGTGCCATGCTTTCTTGTAGCTAACATCGAATTTCCAACACTGTTTCACATCGGTCTGGATCATGCTAATGTTGTAGTCCAGTTTCTTTTCAATCTTGTTAATTACAAGATTTGAAATCATACTGGTGGTTACGGTTCTGTGGTCATTTCTCTCGACTCGTTGCATACAAGTGTGTTTGTCTGTCCATTCAGTTAATTCCCACATTTAACGAACCCGTTTCTTACTCACCCGAGCCTTCCACACACAAGGTTCGTCTTCATTAGATCTGCAGATCACTTTGTATGACCTTTTATTAGAATCTATTGTCCGAATCACCCTCAACCTGTCAATGTTCCAAGCCATGATACCTGATTGTGCTTCTTTCTTGGTCCTAAAAATTGTATCCAAGCCTATGGTCTCAATGTCGCCATTCCAAAGTGGAAGAGCATACTCGTTCTCATCTATCTTCGATGGCTCCCATTCACCCATCTCGCGGTAAATGTGGCGACCACCACTAGGAAATGGGTGTTCTTCAATGAACTCGGGTTCACTCTTCTCATTTACCGATCTATCTAATTCGGTTTCTGAGGTCTCGTCTGTGAAATCATCTTCATCGGGAATGAAATCTTCATCACTTTCTTCTCCCTCCTGATTTGTCCATTCTCTCATTGTTGAGCTTGTCCCTTCTCCAAAATTACGTAGATGAGAAGTCGACGTACCCTCAACATCAGTCACCCCCCCCCCCCAAAAAAAAGGTGTAGCATCCTCAACTTTTTTAACCGGTGTAATTGTCTGCCACGATAAATGCAAATACACCGTGGACATAGGAGGAAAGTAATAAATCCACCGAAGAGCACTATTGTTATTCAGTCTTACGCTATTCCACGAACCATCGGGCTGGCTATACATTAAAGTAATCTCCTCAATTCTCCAACTATCTCCAAACCGACAATTTTCCTAAATCATATCTACCAATTGTTCATAAGATATCTCTCCCCCAATAACAAATGAACCATCAACATGATCTTTATAACTCAAAAAATCTCATAACACATTCTTCACAATTTTCCAATACAAATTAACCATGTATGGACCGCAATCTGCCATTTATACCTGTTGCAAAAAAGCACTTTCAATTTTTCCGATAACAACAACACATAATGTCTAATCCAATACTAAAAAAATTCAATTATTCTTTTACCATTCTAAAATTCAAAACCTATTTCTAACAACAACATATAATTAATGATTTTTTTACTCAAACAAAAAAAAAACCCGTTTAATACTACAAAAAAACAAATATCACCAATAATTTTTATTAAATAATTTTTCCAAACCCTAATACCAATAATCCACAAATAACATACAATTCATCCGAATTTCGGATAAATTTTCAACATACACCAAAAACTCATCATCCACAACAAATTATAATGAACAATCAATCTTTTATAAACAATATTCATTAACTTAACAAATATTTCCTAAACATTCATAAAACAACAAAAAATGACTTTACATTACATTAAAATAACAACTAACTTTTTTTTTTTGTAGCGATTGAGGGTTAAAAGTTTTTTTTTCGTAATGCGCTTGAAATCGAGTTGGGTGTGAAGAGGAAGAAGAAAACCTAATGTTGAACGAGTTGATGCTGCTGCAAATGGTGGAAATGAGCACCAAAATCCTATTTATACTTCGTTAAAAAACGTATTCCTATAATACGGTTTTGAATATTAAATTTATAAAACGTATTTTGATTATACGTTTTAAAAAGACTTTCTTTTCCTTTCTAAATTCATTTATAGAAATAAAAAAATAAAACATATTTCGGAATTACGTTTTGAATTAAACCATATTCTAGAAATACAGTTTACAATTATTATTTATTATTTCGCTTCAATCTTTTTCTGCAATAATTTTTTTTAAAAAAATTTATAAATATAATTATAAGACGTATTATCAGAATACGTTTTTTAAACAAAATATATCTTATTACTAAAACGTATTCTGAGAATACGTTTTATCTGCAAGTCATACAATAATTTAATACATAGCCTAACGAGCATATCTATATCTATATATATATATATATATATGACTTGCAAATTATTGTATGAAATTCAAGAACTCAGTAAAATATTTGACAATGGTGTCGTTTTTGAATATTCATCTTTTAATAGACGTTGCCTCTAACCTAATTAGTTGTACACATGGCTAACATGACATCTAAATTATTGTGTGAAAATTTTAGAATTTCATTATATAGTATGAATATATTTTACCAGTCACTAGAATTTTCCTCTAACAAAATAAATCAAAAAGAATTGTAAATAGGTCAATAAGATAAAGAGTTCAAAAAAAAAAAAAAAAGATGGTATGGAAATAATAAATGAAGCTGCTATGAACAACTCTGACCAGAAAATTCAGTGTGTAAAAAAAAGGCTACACCACATAAAAGCTACAGACACACAAAAAGTGTCAAAAGTCTCCATACTTATAATTAAAAAAAATAAATCTGAAAAAATAATAATAAGAATACATGAAAATTTAGAGGCACCATTCACTGTGCCATCTCCTTCCCACTTTCCCTCTTTCATCTTACACTCTCCACCACCATTAACAAATCCCAGAAAACAGAGCTCTCTCTCTCTCTCAATATAAAGCTTAAAATATTCATGCATACAAACACAATGGCCTAGCTGTTTCTTGGATCCTGAGATTCTGCCATTTTTATTTTTATTTTTTCTCTCTAAAAGAAAAAGAAAAACAACAAACAAACTGACCTATAATATATCAAAAACCCATATCATAGCCCACAAAACATGTTCCCTTCTCCATTTCCCACAAAATCCTCCTCATTGGACTTTGTATCCTAAAAAATTCTCCATTATTTTCTTTTTTGTTTATTCCTAAACTTCTAAATGCCTGTTTACCAATGGCCCCTGTTTCTGTTTCTGTTTCTCCTACTTTCCCTTCTCTCATCTTCTCTTGCCGTGAACCCACAAGGCCAGGCCCTTCTTGCTTGGAAAACCGGCCTCAACGGCCAATTAGAGCCGCTGAGCAACTGGGACTCGACCGACGAGACCCCTTGTCGGTGGTTCGGCATTCTCTGCGACTTTCAGAATCGAGTCGTCGAGATCAACTTGAAAGACGTTGATTTACTCGGAACCTTGCCCGTTAACTTGACCTCTTTAATCACCCTCAACAAGCTCGCCTTGTCGGGGACTAATCTCTCAGGGGCAATACCTCAAACACTTGGCCAACTCCGTGACCTCGTGCACTTGGATTTAAGCGACAATGCCTTAACCGGCGAAATCCCGGGACCCATCTGCCACTTGCCCAAGCTCGAGAAGCTCCATCTCAACACAAACCGGCTCCAAGGCTCGATCCCGCCCGAAATCGGGAACTTAACCGGGTTGATCGAGCTGACCCTGTTCGACAATCAGCTGACCGGACAAATCCCGGGCAGCATAGGTAACCTGAAGCAGCTCCAGATCATCCGAGCCGGCGGGAACAAGAATCTTGAAGGCCCTTTACCTGAAGAAATCGGCAACTGCACGAACCTTGTCATGCTGGGACTCGCCGAGACCGGCATTTCCGGATTCTTGCCGACATCTTTGGGTCGGCTGAAAAAGCTCGAGACTTTGGCTGTTTACACCACGCTTATCTCCGGCCAAATCCCGCCTGAGATTGGTGACTGCACGTCGTTGAGGAACATTTACTTGTACGAGAACTCGATCACTGGATCTATCCCGACTCGGTTGGGGAATCTTCAGAACCTGGAGAATCTCTTGCTGTGGCAGAACAATCTTGTCGGTGTTATCCCTCCCGAGCTCGGTTTTTGCCGGAATCTTGCCGTGATTGATTTGTCGATGAATTCGTTAGTCGGGTCTATACCCGAGTCTTTTGGGTACTTGAGCCAGCTACAGGAGCTGCAGATGAGTGTTAATCAGATTTCAGGTCGGATTCCATCACAGCTCCGGAACTGTACGGGCCTAACGCATATCGAGCTCGATAACAATCAGCTCTCCGGCGGCATCCCGTTCGAGTTCGGAAGCCTTTCGAATCTAACTCTGTTGTTTTTGTGGCAAAATCGGATAGAGGGAAACATACCGCCATCTCTATCCAACTGCCGTAAGCTCGAAGCAATCGACGTGTCTCAAAATTCACTCACCGGCACTATACCGAGCGGCATTTTCGAGCTGCAGAGCTTGAATAAGCTTTTGCTGCTGTCTAACAATCTTTCCGGCCCCATACCCCCGGAAATCGGGAACTGCTCCTCGTTGATCCGTTTTCGGGCGAGCAATAATAAGCTGACTGGGAATGTGCCGCCGGATATCGGAAGGTTGAAGAATTTGAATTTCTTTGATCTCGGGTCAAACCGGTTATCTGGGGTCATACCGCCCGAGATTTCCGGTTGCCGGAACCTCACTTTCCTCGACCTGCATTCGAACTCGATCACCGGAAGCTTGCCGGTGAGCTTGAATCAGCTCGTTGCTCTTCAGTTTCTTGACGTCTCGGAAAATCTTATCGAGGGCTCATTGAGTTCGGGCCTCGGCTCGTTGACTTCGCTGACGAAGCTCATTCTTGGACAGAATAAGCTCGCAGGCACGATACCAGACGAGCTGGCCTCGTGTTCCAGGCTTCAGCTGCTCGATTTAAGCAGCAACGAGTTCGAGGGCCGAATTCCGACGAGTTTAGGCAAGATTCCGGCTTTAGAAATCTCCCTGAATCTGAGCTGCAATAAGTTATCCGGCGGTATCCCGAAAGAGCTCAGGGCCTTGGATAGATTAGGCGTGTTGGATATATCTCACAATCTCCTCTCCGGGGACCTACATTACCTAGCTGGCCTCCAAAACTTAGTAGTCCTCAATGTCTCACACAATAATTTCTCCGGCCGGGTCCCCGACACGTCGTTCTTCACGAAACTGCCGCTTAGTGTCCTCGCCGGAAACCCGGGCCTCTGCCTTTCTGGCAACAACTGCCCGTCTTCTGGCGACGGCTCATCCACCGGCCGCCACCGGGCAGCTCGGGTGGCGATGGTGGTGCTGCTCTGCACGGCGTGCGTTCTTATGCTAACAGCCCTATACATAATCCTCCGAGCCCGTCGGGCCCGTGATTGCGAAATCCCGGATGATAATGACATGGATTTGTGTGGGCCGTGGGAAGTGACCGTTTACCAGAAGCTCGACCTGTCGATTGGCGACGTGGCAAAGTGCCTGACAGCTGTCAACGCGATCGGCCAGGGTCGGTCGGGAGTCGTGTACCGAGCCTCGATCCCATCCGGGCCCACCGTGGCTGTGAAGAGGTTTCGGGCCTCGGAGAAGCACTCGGCAGCCACATTCTCGTCGGAGATCGCCACCCTGGCACGAATCCGGCACCGGAACATCGTGAGGCTGCTCGGGTGGGCAGCCAACCGGAAAACGAAGTTGTTAATGTACGATTACATGGCGAACGGGACTTTGGGTTCGTTGCTGCACGACGGGCTCGGAGAGCCGGTCGAGTGGGGGATTCGGCTCAAGATAGCATTGGGCGTGGCAGAGGGTTTGGCCTACCTGCACCACGACTGTGTGCCGGCTATCTTGCACCGTGACGTGAAAACGGATAATATACTGTTGGGGGACCGTTACGAAGCGTGCTTGGCGGATTTCGGGCTGGCAAGGTTCGTCGAGGATGAGAACGGGCGGTGCTCGTTTTCGGGGTCCCCACAGTTTGCTGGGTCCTATGGATATTTTGCTCCAGGTAATTTTTTCTGTTTTTTCTTTTTCCTCTGTATACTGTGCTATTAGACCAGTTGTTAGTCTTCTTCTGGTCTTTTGGGTGGTCGTTTGTGAGTAAAAGTTAAAACCCATTTAATCTGTTTATGTTCCTTTGAGTTGAGTTCCATTAAATTGTGGACACAATTACTCCAAAATAATGTTCTTTAGGCTAATCAAAACATGTATGTGGCTAGGACTAAAGATGTTTCTAAAATTCTCCAAGTACTGTACTGTTCTGTTTCACAAGCAAGAAACACCTCAAGAATAATTTATATATTTATATCCTCAAGGGTTCTTTTTGTAATTATAAAGAACTTGTGGTAACTCAAACCTTGAGTTGGATTATGTAATTATCACCTTTAAGATAAAGCAGAAACAGACAAAGAGTGGTGTACAGTAGTACTTTGAGACATCAATTGATGTTACTTGCATTTGGATTTACATCTTATGTTTGCAGTGGGGAAAGTAATGCATGTGATTCATGTGATACATATATCTTATATACATTGTAATAACTTGTTCTTCCCCCCCAAAAAACCTGTTTAATTAATAATTTCTTTATTTTTCTTTTTGGGACACGTGTAGAGTATTCTTCCATGCTAAAAATCACGGTGAAGAGCGATGTCTACAGCTACGGAGTCGTGCTGCTCGAAATCATAACCGGGAAGAAGCCGGTGGACCCGTCTTTCCCCGAAGGCCACCACATCATCCAATGGGCCCGCGACCACCTCAAGAGCAAGCGGGACCCCATTGACATCATCGACCAGAAGCTCCAAGGCCACCCGGACACCCAAATACAAGAGATGCTCCAAGCGCTCGGGATAGCCCTACTTTGCACGAGCAACCGGCCGGACGATCGGCCCACCATGAAAGACGTGGTGGCCCTACTAAAGGAAATCAAGCACGAGCACACCTCGGGAGCGGATCAAGGTCATAAGCTATCCAAGGGCTCGGAGGCCTCATCTTATTCTTCGTCATCGGTCACCCCAGCTCAATTGTTGCTTATTCAAGGATCATCTAGTTGCTCCTCGACTTACTCCTCTTCCTCCACAAGTTACAATCAAGGGAGACAATGAACTTTTGATTTTTTATTTTTTTATTTTTATTTAGTTTTGAAGTGTAGGGTAAAGAAGCATTGTAAAAAAAATCTAGGAGCATTATTCAACAAATTTGGTTATTTTGTGTAACTTCCAAGTTGTTGATTAATGTGGGCATAACATGGAGTCCACATCATTTGATAAATGTATGGAGTAATTGTTGGCCTAATTGATATGTGGAGCAATTATAATTAGCTTATTGGAGTTCATATGTTTTTCCCCATGTGAAAGACATGTAATATATGAGGATGTGAATAGGTTTGGAGTAGGCTCATGTATTCATTAATGTGAGATACATGCAACCCATTAGCTTGGTTGTCGGAGGAGCCATTTTCAATCATTTCTTGGGGGAAAAGAAGCTAAAGGATGTTTTGATAGGGGCATGTGACTCGTTATATCATGATCGTTGGTCATATCATACTTCAATCATCGAAAATACAGACATCGAAATTTATTTTACCAAATATGAAAGTCGTGATACTTACTGTAAATTTTAAAAAGTGACGATAAAATTGCCATTTCACTAAATAAAAAAATCAACTATCGCGTTCTATCTTGTCGACTATTTATTGGACACCATAGGTCACCTTTATTAGCACCTTCATACTAAATGGAAAGAAAACACACAACTTTCATTCTATTGAGGTAGGTCTAGAGATCATGTAAATAAATTTTTATGGTACCCTTTTGTCCCCACTCTAAGCCCCAATCCCTTTTGTACCATTAATGATAAAGGGTGAGAATGGCAGAAGCTTCCCCCATTTGATGCTAATGCTAACTCCAAAAAGGCCTCCCCCCACCATGTGATAAGAGATGCATACAACATAGCAAACTACAAATGTGACAATCATGCAAAAATTGACACTTCTATCCTTTCAAGAATATATATCCACCTTTATTGACAAGCAACATTGTGTCTTATTATGCAGCATTACATATGCCAATTAACATTGATTTAACATCTCAAAGTAGCAAGCATTCATGGGCCATTATAAGATTAGCAAGACACTAGAGTTAGTCATGTGTAAACTCTACTAGTTAAAGAATTTAAGAAGCAATGCCCCGACTAATCCGGATACCGTGGCTGGCTAAAAAAAGAAGAACTTACGAAGCAAAAGATTATGGACATGATATATGCATCTTAATTGGACCCACTTCTTATAGTTTATTTGTGGATAACAATTGGGAAACCAAAGGCTGATTTTGTTCACTCAAAGTGGTAAAATAATGTTTCATTTAGCCAACAAAGTCAAATGCCAAACACCTATTTTGGGTTAATGGAGCTCACTCAAGTATTGGTTGACAAAATTGTGGTCTAGGTTAAATAGGGCTTAGGGTGATCAATTGCTCCTTTTACATCTTTTGCATGTACAAGGATTTTTGTATTTGGATGGAACAAACTTCCTAGGATTTTACTCACTATTAAAATTTTTATATCAAATTCACCCATACAGCCCTTCAAATAAAAATTATTATATAATGTGAATGTATCATAATACTCATACTTAAGAGATAACTATAACATAAAGTTATATAAAATTAAAAAAAAAAAAAAAAACTTATTTATTAAATTAGTTTGAATTATATTTAGCTAATATTGTAAATTCACTCCACAGTCCATACGCATTTCATTAATTTCAGTTTACTTGGATAATTTAAAAACTCATATTATATGAATTAGTTAAGTAACATATTATGGTGTTATATAAGGCTGCAAACGAATCGAGCGGTTCACGAGCCGCTCGCGAATGCTCGAGTCAAAGCTCGACTCGAGTTCGAGTTTGACCGAACTCGAGTCGAACTCGAGCGGCTCGAGCACGAACTCGAGTCGAGCCTATATTTTGCATTGTCGAGCGTCTCGATATATATATTAAATTACTAAATACCCCTTATATATTTTTAAATAGTATAACACAAGTGGTTAATGGTAATTTCATTTAAAATTTTCGAGCCGAACTCGAGCCGATCTTGAGCATTTGATTTCGAGTCGAGCTCGAGCTATTGTATTTTCTTATCGAGTCGAACTCGAGCCTCATAAATCGAGCTCGAGCTCGAGCAGCTAAAAAAAATATTCAATCCAGCTCGATAAGGCCAATGTTCGACTCGACTCGGCTCGGCTCGTTTGCAGCCCTAATTGGTATATATACTGATACATTAGATAAGTATATTAATTAATTGAGTACGTTTAATAGCAATAAGTAAAAGAAGAGTATAAATTCATTTTTGTACCTTTATATTTGAAAAACAGACAAGTATGAAAGGGTGTTTGATGTCAGGCAAGTACAAATATGTCTGAATCACCCAATTAAAACTTTGTTATTATTTACTTTTCTATATAGTACTCCTAATTTGCAAATTAAATCCTCCTAATGAAAAATGGGAAAATGGGGCAGAAAATTAATCAATATTTATACAAGAGTTGAAATATAAAACAATCTTTGAACTCATCCAAGGATGAGTAACTGACAAGTAACAATACTTCTGAAAATGTACAGCATGATAAATATAAACTATCTTTCTAAAATTAAGAAAAATAAAATAAACAAATTCCATTTCCACATTTGTGGATTTGCAGTCACATGAAAAGAGAATCACATGAAGAAGAAAGCCCAACAGTAGATAACCGTTGAGCCCATTGTAACTGAAGCCCCACATGGCCATTGGTACGTAGAATTTTGCTCATCTGACTTTTGTACATATTTTTGGCCCTTAGTTTAATAACTCTTTTGCAAAAGAAGACTTCTTTCTGAAAGGGCAAAAAAGGTTCATCTGGCATATTCCCAACTTAGATAACAAGGACATGATATATATTCTGATTAATTATTTGAAGGCTCCACCATGTAAATTTATTGATACCAACAACATGAGGTTCATAGGGATATTTTATTACTCCAAGATTCGACCCGCCGGGAGATCACACACTGCACGATCTAACTGTTCTGTTCGGATGCCCATATCGATAGGTACGAATTTGTCGATTTTGCTTCATGTATGTTTTTTCTTCCCTTTTCATATGTGCAACCCGTGATGAATGAGAGGTGTTGCAATGGTAGCTTTTCATAAAAATATAAAAGTGGAGTTAGTAAATAAAATCAAACTGTTTGCTCAAAGTAGAGTGATAATAATGACATACATTCCTATTATTTGAAAATTCAATCTTTGTACCCAATCACCCTAGAAGCATTTTAGATCCAAATTCCAAATGGAGTACCATGTTCAGAAATGTAAAGTAGATTGGGCCGGAACAAAAAGGGCCACAACGGCCCAATATCTGGAACCTGCTCATCATTTCCCGCTCCTTTTTACCTGCTGCAACTTTCCCCACCCATTTTTCGCCGGCTAATTTTTCTCTCTCAATCAGTTGAGTGGTGGTGTCTGTGAACCTCTGACGGCGCAGGTAGGGCCAGTTATGATTTCGAGAGAGGCAGTTCAGTTTACCGCCGCCACGGCGTTTGGTGCGGTGGTCTCCGCCGTGGCAGTCGGCTTGTTCTTCAGCTTCAGATGCCCCAAACCCCGCCGCCCGCAAAACGACGCCGTGCAGCATAAATCGTCGCGTCAGAGCCCCTTTGATCCTTCCAAAAGGAAAGGGTAAGCTGAAATAGGGTCAATTGCTCTTGTTTCTTCCTAAATTGAACTGAAATGTTGAAGGAACAAAAGGGGAAACCAGGTTAGCGAAGAAAATGTTGAGGTTGGGAAAATGCTCATTCTTGCTTCATATTTATTTATTTTTTTTTATTTTTTTCTGGGGTTAGAATTAAAGTGATTTTGATGAGGATACATGTTTTTTTTGTGCAACGGAATGTCTGTTATTGAAATATGAATCTGGAGATGACCCAAATTCTAAAACTGAATTGGTTTGGATAAAATAAGAACACTCGAATAGGGAAGTTCACTGACTTCTGTTCCTTGGTACATATATAGAGGTCTGATGTAGAATAAATAAGGCGTTAAATCTACGATAAGGATATTGTAGGGCATTCGCTTCAACTTTTTCTGTATAATGGAGGAAGAAAATTGTAATTCTGTGCCCATTAGCTCGTTAATTGGTGTTGCAGGTACCTATCTTGGGACGATTATTTTATGGCAATTGCATTTCTATCAGCTGAGAGGTCAAAGGATCCAAATCGACAGGTTTAGTCACATTGCCTTTACAGCATTAAAAACTCGAATGATACTAAGGATGATTCTTTTATTTTTTGTTTAATAATTTAGATTTTCTAATAGTGTTGTTTCCAATTAATGTACATCTTTATCTACTTGTTTTTGCTTTACCACAGGTGGGTGCTTGCCTGGTGAGTGAAAATGGAATAATACTCGGTAAGACTTCTTGATAAAAAAAACTTCAGATAACACTTTAATTGGACCATAAAGTGCTTGCTCAATCTATATCACGTTCTATTCGTAAATAATCTCAAGCTAGTTTCACCTTTTGTTGGGTAAGGCATCGGCTACAATGGATTTCCACGTGGTTGCTCTGATGACAAACTTCCATGGTCTAAGGTTAGAAGCTCTCTATATCATATGGGAAAAAAGTGATCAGATTGCAAAGTTATGTGTTTTTTACTTCTGTTTTGGTTATCAGAAATCCAAGAATGGGGATCCTCTAGAAACAAAGTACCCGTAAGTACTAAATTATTGTTATGGTGATTAGATTTTTCGATCGTTATGTTTCATGCATTTTTGTTGTTCTTCTAACCATCTTTCACTTTTTTTTTTTTT